GTGCCTGTGATGCTGGAGCTGATACAAGCTGATATTCCCGCTTGGTCCCCATGTGTTGCCTGGTCTAGTCGAGAGGTGACATCCCTGCCCATGACAGGGAGGTTGGACTAGATGATCTCTAAGGTCCCTTTCAGCCTATGATATGATATAAGCTGTTCAGTTAAGATATCTCAGGTTCTGGGAGTGATATTGGAGGTCTGAGCAGCCAAACATAGCTGTCTCCCACCTGGCCATAAGCAATTCATATGCCATGGGTGGATGGATGTGGATTTACTCAAGTGTACTTTTAGCATCCCTGCCTCCTGTGTGGGATCAGAAGCTTCCAGCTTGGGTGTTGTGAATCACTGCCTGGAAAAGCTAATGTCTCCACTGACTCTGGGGAGAGGCCCCGGCATCTAGCTGAAAGGCATGGTGATAGGATTATTCCAAACAGTTAAGCTCAGTCTGTCCGCTTCTGAATATGCAAAGAAACTATCTTAATAAACTCCTGTGTCATTCTTTTTTACTTTTTAGACTTAAAGTGCTAAAGACAGATTCATCGGAAAGGCACTTGTAATATAAACCAGAACCAGACCTGAACATCTTCCTTTACTTTTCCAGGTGTTACCATTAGGCACTTCTTGATGTCGGCCCACCAACTTTGCTCCCACAGAGACCAAACTTGCTCCCTCTGTTTGTAGTGAATAATGACATATTCTTGAGCGTCTCGGTGGCCATCAATGCCTTTACTCACACAGTATGGTACTACTCATGAGGAACCAGCATGCCTGGCCCTGATTTAGTATCTGATGTTTGTATTTCCTAGATGACATTACTCATGCAGGGACAACAGTGTTTGGGTTTGAGAGATGTCTCTAGAAAGGCCTGCTCTGAGAAATTAGACTGGTTCAGGAGGATGCGAGAGGTGGCAGAAGAGAGGATTTGAAGCTTCCAGGACTGTGCTTGGATTTAGATGAGATCCTATGGTAATTCGTGTTTAAAAGGATTTTGTTAATTTGACAAGTGAATCAAATACAAGTAGGCAATCCCTCTGCTGTCAGCAAATGTATCCAAGGTTCAATGGGTGACGTGTATTAGCCTTTTTCTGTGTTAAAATGTCACAGAAATGTCTCCTAAAGATGCAGTTCAGTGCATTTGGATATCTTATAATCTTTATAATATTTTGCAATATTATAATAACTCTGTTTCCCAAGATGATGCATCAGGCTGTATCTTATTTGTTTTATATTGGTGTCTACAGGCCTCAGCTGAGTTTGGGACTGCCTTGCCAAGTACTGTGAAAACAAACCCTGGTCTTCAAGACCATTTCCAGAGACAAGAAATAGAAAGGAAAACAATCCAAAAGTGGCAAGTAACTTGCTGAAGTTTGTCACTCAATCAGTGACACCATCAAGAGTATAGAACAAGTGTTCTTGAGCCCAAGACATCAGAGCACTCTGTCTACCTGCCTAAGGAGAGTTCCTCGATATTCGTTGTTCCAGGACACACCATGGTTTGGTATTTCTGCAGAAATATTCAGAGCTTCTGGCCAAGCACAAGAGGCTTTGCGTTCCAGGAAAGTATCGGAAGCAGGAGTATGTTTCCTAAAGACAGTCACTCAAGGGCATAAAATTGGTATTTTATTGCCTTTTGTGTAAATATATTATGTAAAACATGCACTTCAAAACCAACAGCTACAAATGCCCTATGTTGCCTGGAGCCGGTGTTCTATTGTCTTGAGTGACCTCTCATCTGAAGCACGGACAGAAGCCAGGCGAAGGCTGAAGTGTGTGTGGCACATAGAGATGGGAATGAAGGCTGGCAAGTGCCATTGTTCTCCTCTGCCTCCTAGTGAACAGCATTTCATTCTGTTTTCAGTTGTCAAAAGAGATTAGATATCTAAATTCTGGTATCAATAAGTGGTCTGTCTGATCACTTAGGTGCAGAAAACGCGTTTCACAGAAGAAACTGCCAGATACATGATTAAGCCGTTTGTGTATTACCACAGTGGTATAGCACATGTTTACAGAAAGTCAGCTTTTGAAAAAAGCACTCAAACAATACAAAAATAATTAAATTAACAAGAATCCTGGGGATAAAGGATTAATTTTCCCAGCAGTCTGCCAGCAGGGACGAAGGCTGGGTTATCAGCTCCACATAAGAGATGCCTTTCTAGCAACATCCAGAGCTGCCCTGAACAGCACCTAAATATAAAAGTTCCCCAAAGATAAATGAAAACTGAAATGTGAGTGATGATAGGGGGAAACCAAGCAGAACAGAATTGCAAAAGGGGAAGAAAAGGAATATGCTATTATTGTAAATTCTTAGCAGTGGAGGACACTTCTGTTAGCTTTTGGCAGAACAAAAGGACGTGGCAAAGTAAGTCAGAAAAGTGTTGCTTTTCAGAAAACTTTATAGTCGACACTGAAATCATAAGTGTACATAGCTTCCAGAGGCTAGAGCAGAGGAATATGAAAATATTCACTGTGTTTTTCTCTCAGAGATAAGGGGAACATATTTTTTCTTATAAAAATAAAGGGTTATGAAATAAATTTCTTAGCAGCATTGTACCCCCAGCTGTGCTGCCCAGGGCAGACTTGTGTCCCTGCAGGCGAAGGGGACAGGGCAGCTACCAGTCCCAAGGAGGAACTCAATGCCAGGAGAGCCTGGCTCTCCTCTCCATCACTATTAACCACAGTTGTTGCTTGTAGAGGGTTTAAAGCACACACGTGGCTCCTGCTTTCCAAAAACACCACGGGGCAGGGTAGAAGGAGGACATGCTCCTTTCCTTCCTGCACACCCTTTCCATGTATTATGGCCAAGGCCCTTGACAGAGAGGATGAATTTGCTCCTGCAAAGTGTCCATCACCCTGAGGCACCCTGTGCTCACGGGCAGGGGGCTGCGGTGCCCCCTCAGCCTGCAGGCAGACCAGCTCCCACCTCTGTTCAGCACCAGTTCTCCCACTCTGATCCCTGGCTCCTTGCAGTAGGTATCCAGTCCTGGGACCAACAGTGGCAATGGTAATAATCCATTTTGTGCAAATATTAAGCAAAAGAAAATAACTGCAGTAAATAGTCCTGTTCTGACAGGAGGGGTATGTAGGAGGGATGGAGAACTCTTCACCAAACCTGCTCTGGTAAAAAGTGAGGCAGAGCCTGGTCCCTGGCTCCCTCCCTAGGCTCAGCAATCGATGGAGGAGACAGCAGCTAAGGACACTGGTGCCCATGGGCTATTTGCTTTCTTATCACTTTTGAGGCTTTGGAAGGAAAGAGAAACTGTCAAGGAGGGTCTGCTGAGCATGAAACACTGGGGATCATGGCTACTGCTCACACTCAGCATCTGCTCCCCAGGGAGGTGGCCGTTGCCTCCCACCCGGCATCCTCATCACATCCAGCCTTTCTGTCCCTGACTTCACACCCAGCAACCCCACTAGCAGTTTGTTTCCACACTGGGATTTAAATAAGGAAACAAAAGCAAGATATGTCTGCGGTGCAACTCATGGTCCGTGCAATGACAAAGTTGCTTGCACCTTATTTTGTCCTTCCCTTACCTTTGCCTACACACACCAAACCCTCCTGTGTGATGTACAGGAACTAGTACAATGGGACCCAGGCTCAGCTGGCTGCTCTGCTCCATGGTAATGAAGTCAATTAATAACACAAACAAAGAAGGGAGGTTGTGCCCAGAAGGAGGAAGCCAGTGTGAGCAGGACTTGGTACGCAACATCACAGACTCATTGCTACAAACAGGAAGTTACAGGCTAACACAGCTCCATGTTTTACAAAAATTTTATTGTGTTTTGGAGAAAACTGTGTACAGTCAATCGGGTTACTCCAGCACCAGGTAGTATGATTAGTATGTGTGATCTGGTCTTTTTCTTTCCAGCTACTCAGCATAATTCTTAGCAGAATTTTATGCTCTAACAGGTAACTTAAACTATTAGCATCCATGGGGACATCACTTCCTATTGATGTTCATGACATTTTGGGGAAAATTCCTAATTATATTCTGAAATTAAGAAGCAAGATCCTGTGTTTTTGTGAAAATTCAATAATATCTCTGTATCATTTCCTAATATGAGCATCTAAAAATGTTCTCCACAGACAAAATGTAGTGCCAATGTTGGAGAACATTTTCTTCAACACAGAGCTTTTTATTTGCTGTATTTTTTTGTCATACATCACCATCTCATGTCTTTTTATGAATAACAATTGAGTGTTTATGAGTAGACAAATTTTTATTCTGAAAAGAGCTCTGGATTTGCAAGAGAAAAAAATCCTAATGGAGCTTTAACAAAATACATTTAAAAAACCCAACTGATGGCTTTAGATTAATCATCTGACAGTGAGGAGAGTATTGCTTAAGGAAGGAACACAGACATTTTGCTTCTGAGTGCCAGCTTAAGATACTTCTGTCTCTGTGTTTCGCATCGCCTCTGTGCCATGGCACACAGCTCCAAGCCTTGTGCTGACACAAGTATCCTCTTGTTGCGGTAAGGTTCTGGGGGCTAAGCTGGCTTCTAGATGAAAAATCACAGGCTGAGTTACTTCCCTGGCAAAGGACACCACCACTGTGGTTTAAAGTGTGGCAACACTAGGGTAGTGCCAGCAGAGCAAGGGCACATGTTCTACGGCATGGAGGCAGGAAGCAGCAGCTGCGGAAGTGCTGTAAGTTGGAGTGGCTGCTGAAGACTTTCTCCGAAGTTGTGGGCTTACTTTCTACTTTTCTGCATCAGTTTTTAGCCAATGCTTTTTCTCTGAAGTCAGTGTAGTTATATATCCATTTTCCATAGGCAGAACTCCACTGACAAGCCAAAATGTTGTTTGGGGAGTCCCTTTGCCCACGACTATCTGCAATTTCCCCTGAAATTGGAAACAAGAACTTAAGCTCCAAATTAGCTTCTTGTCTGTTATAACCCTAGGTTATCATTTGTACAATTAATTGTAGTCAGATCTAACATTAAAACTAGGAATTTTTAAAAGTCCTATCAAAACAGACCACGGAGTCCATATTTCAGTCATTAAAAAACAAAAGGAATCAAGGCTTTCCTTGATTTTGGATAGTCCGTAAATGTCTTGAGATAGTACCTGAAAGAAAATAAGCAAGAGAATGAACCTGCATATATGCAAGAAAACGGCACAGTTTCAACACAGCTCAGCTGAGGAACCTTAAAATTCCTCCAGACTGCCTTGCTTTGTAACCTCTGTGTATTACTCTGCAAAAGAACATTCCAAAACTATTCACATCAGGTTAATTAATTAAGGGATAATATTTAGGTTCTAACAGACCTAAAACAAACTTCAGGAATTCAGAGCAGACGACCATATCTACTCCAAAGGACAGAAGAGGTTGCAAGGGAACCCTTAAGAAAGGTTCACATTTGCAAGGCTCAGTAAAAAGAGGCTTTAACACAGTGGAAGCAGTGATATAACTCATGTCAGACTAATTGACTATCATCAGGCCCACTTGACTCAACAGGGGCTCCAGCTGACTGCCTTACTTCCAAGCAGTTACAAATAAACCATATTAAACTTTGATTTTATCTTGAAATCTGGCCCTGCTTCTCTGCCCCTCCATGGCATTTTGCAAACTGTACTCCAAGAGCATGCAGCAGCATACAGTAAGAAACAGTCTGATACCTGTGATGGTGATATGCACGTGGCCCAATGCAGCAAAGAGTAAAAAAGGCAAAGGCGAAGGCTGGTAGGGACCAGGTTGCTATGGCAAAACCAAACCATTCCACAATTTCTCCAAAGTAGTTGGCTCCAGAAACATAGGTGAACAATCCTCCTGCATTGACAGAAAAAATATGTAATTTTTAGTCATCTCATGCATGGAAAGTTCTTTCCTATCAAGCCAGCAGCATAACATGCTACCTTTCTCATTCAGAGCTCATAACAGCAGCCTAAAACCATTGCCCTGAAGCCAGTGGAGCAATGCCAAACTACAGGGAGGATCTTGTACAAGACTATTCTACAACTACAAGAATCAAAGATGATCCTAACCCAGGCACTTCCAGCACTTTCACAATCATTTATTTTCATTTTTAAAAGGACTTAAGAAAGCCCATTAATAGATATAAATTAAAATTATTAACATTATATATAATTATTATACAAAACCATTGTCTTTAGACCCTAAAAGATATTTTGCAACTCCACTACCTTTGGGGAATGCAAATTGCAGTTTTGCATCTTAGCTAATCACCGTATCTAGAAGACATAGGTAAGTATTGCAGGTGAGAAACTCTGGGGGAGAGATATTACCATCTGTAACAAGACAACAGAATTAGTCAGCACCAAAACCAGGAAACTCCTGGATCCCCATCCATATTGCTCTACACAGCTAGACATTTCCCAGTTCACCACTCTGGCCCGTGGTCACTCTTCCTCACTAAACCCCACCTTGAAGGAGATTGCAAGGAAATTCCACACCTTGCACCTTTGGTGTTACTTCTTTCCCCAAAGTTTACACTTTGAATCTCCTTTTTGCAGTGTAAGAAGTCCACTGCTGCTTCTTCCTGGGCATAGAGAAGAACATTGCCTTCTCTGCAGCTGCCTTTTGCAAGGCTAAAATCCCTTCCCTATGTCCCACTTCAATCTTCTCTAAAGTATCCAGCTCTTTTCCTAAAACTGCTCCTCACAGCTCACGTTTTCCAGATACTCTCGTATCTTCCTGTGGATTCTGCAGCCAGCTCATGCTAGCCCCTGCAGCTCAGCGGGTCACGTGAGCCGAGTACCTACACAATACTGATATCTCTGCTATTATTGTCACTTTGCTGTGAAATCAGTCAGAAAATATTATCTATCTTGCTGCCCTACTTTCTCTGAGGAGGTGGGGGGTAAGAATATACCTTGAGGAATCTTGTAAGTGATTTCCCCGGGTTTCCTCAGCTGGCGCAGCAGGAGATCACTGTGAATGTTGATTCCCATTCCCAGCAAAAATAAGAGGAGGCCTAAGAAACAAACAAGAAATGGATTAGAAAGACTGCTCTGCCTAGTTATCTCCACTCAAGCTCATGTGAGGTTTATTTTTGGAGCAGGCAGACAGAAGATCTAGCATGAGGTGGGTGGATTCTTTTTAAAGTCAAAAGATGAGCTGCTACTGAGCAGAAGCAGCACAGGTGACTGGTGACAAATTACCCTACAACTCTGTGTCAGCTGTGGGATCACAGTTCTCTGGGATCACCCGCACTGGAGAGCTTCAGTGTGCAGAACAACTCTGGACAGCTGTGCTCATCCTGAGCACACCATTTTGTTGGTAAGACCAAAGCATTTTCAGCTGGTGTGACAAAAAAAAAAGAACTTCCCAGCTGGCCATAGTCACAATTTACTGACAAGCCAGCTATGGCTGTGGACGTTACTGCAGAGTAATCACTGAGGTGTAGGCAAGTACCACTACACTCATTTTATGGCTGGGGAAAGAGAAGCACAGAGAACACAAACTTTATCCAGCACATCACTAGAGCTGGGAGAGGAACCTACATCTCAGCACAGCTCAATCCACCACCAGCGAGGCTGCTTGGACAGAGCTGTGGGTGTCCACATGGAGCAGTTACTCATTGAAGGATGCTGACAACTTCTGGCCAGAATAATTCATTGACCATACTCCATTTAGCTGAAAAACTAGAGACATTTGATTGAGAAACTCTGCAGGTGACATGCCCTACATTTCATGCCACATTAGACACTGAGCAAATTGCCTCTGACAATGATTGGGTAGCAAGGAAAGAAATAGAGATGGTATGTGCTACAAAGTGTAGAAATAAGACCAAGTGCTGATAAAACCTCAACAATTCCAGTAGCAACAGAAAGCTGGTAAGTCTGTAGAGCAAGAACATACTGTTTGTTTTTTATTTAACAGTTCAAGTACTGCTAATGCTGATTTCCTTTATTATTATTAAATACACATTTTATTTATCCTGCAAATTATGTGATGTGGTGTTTTCTTTTTGGGGTATGTGAACTCTTACTAAACAATGTCCTGGATTTTTAATATGTGGTTCTGTCTGAAAAGACCAGAATTGCATTCACAGCCTGAAATAGGGTACAGAAAGTACCTTGGTTATTTTTTACTTGTCATATCCAAAACATTTTCTCAGACCTCCACATTAATCTTCATTTCTATGTGTGCATTTAAAAATCATCCTCTGTGCAGCACCAAATGTGTAATGCCACCTAGCTGCTCTTGCTCAGTTATTCTCTCAGGGATTTTACAGTGTAAAACTCAGTTAGGCTATTAAGTTACAGAATATAAAGGAATCATATTAACATACAACCAGGCTGTGCATGATCTCTAATCTTCCCATGTGCCTTACGCAAGCAAAAAGAGCCCTTTGTCTCTAAATTAGAGCCTCATTTATGCTGTGGTTTTGCCTTTCTTTCTTCTCAGTTGAAATAAGTGCAAAGTTCCCTGGTGGGGAAGAGAAAGCCACAGCTTGCACTTGCACATGGCCACTGCTGGGTGGATACTTCTGGCTGAGCAAGGGCACATCCTCGTTCAGCTGTGGCCTGTGATTGCATCTCCACAGCCTGTAGCAGCAGGAGGCTTGGAGTGGTGTCCATAAATTAATTTCTTCACAGAAAGCGTTGTCAAGCACTGGAACAGGTTGCCCAGGGAAGTGATTGAGTGAGGTATTTAAAAGATATGTAGACATGCTGCTTAGGGGCATGGTTTATGGGTGGACCTGGCAGTGCTAGGTTAACAGTTGGACTCTATCATCTTAGAGGTCTTTTCCAACCTAAACAGTTCTATGATTCTAAGACAAGGCTGGTGATTGAAGACTAGCATGTAACATTGTACGCCTTCAAAGGTCTCTTGCCTAGCAAAAAAAAAAAGTCACTGCATATTTATTTGTTTTATCCAGGCAGCAGGCAGGTTTTATGCTGATTTTCATCACAACTGATTTGACTCATTCGTTCAGTGAAGATTAGGACATAATTCAAAGCGCTTACAAATTGCTTGGAGATTAGATCTTGAGAATCCTGCAGCTACAATTACCTGATGTAAATCTGATGTCGGTGCACCAATCATTTGGATATTCAGCACAGTAAATCAGGTAGTACCCCTGGAGGAAGCCATTATAGATACAGAATAATGTGCCAAAGAAAAGCATTTGCAGTGGGAAAGGTCTGCCTCTAGTGAAGAAGGGGTAAATAAATGTCCTAAGGTAGATAAGAAAACAAAGTCAGGACACATCACTCATGATAACATTGTATTTGCAATTTTTCTGCTATAGGATAAAAAACTTTAACAAAACACAAAATATAAAAAAGGCCAATAAAGGTAAGAAGCTGGAAAACAACCGTAACAAAAGAAGATCAGCAACTAATGGGAACAAGAAATACAGCAGATACCCAAAGTATTCTGGTCCTTTGGGACTGAACACAATGTGGGAAGCTAGAAATTTCATCCTGAGTCCCTGCCACCTTGGGAATGTCTCTCTGCCCTCCTTCTCTGCTGTTGGTAAAATGAGGAACTTGTGCCCACAAACAGCATTTTTGCTTTAAGACCTTGGCTGCCCTTTGCTGTAAAGCTGCAGAGGGCTGAGCAAAGGGTGCTGTGGAGGCACGTGGACACACTGATGTTCAAACCAAAGTATTGCGGGGCAGTACCAATTGCAATATTGATTCCCCAAACAAGCACTGCTGTGCCACAAGCACTTTGTCCTGGAGAAGACGTTTCTGATCCCACTATGAGGATGGATCCCTGAGGGCTTTGGCCCACAGTGGCAGATGGAACTGAAGGCAGTGTTGAGATCCCTCTGGCTCTCTCATCCCCTGCAGTATATACCCTGAGGTGTAATCCCCTTTTCCAGCCTCTCCTGCTCCACTCACAGACCTCCACTCATCTCCAGCACACAACAGATCTGTTCTGCTCTGCTTGGACACCTCAACACAGAGGCAGATCAATGCTGTTGCCTGCTTCGGGGAGCTGTTTTGTCTCCAGTCTCTGCATCTCCCCCATGTTTACAAACTTTTCTTTTAAACAAGAAGAGCTAAACCCCTAAGTTTAATATGCTAAAACACTGAGATTTCCATCCAGCTCCAGCACCTAAGGCTTCCTTAGGCAAAAGCTGTGCCAACACTAGCATGTTCCTAACATGTAGGAACAAATAATTTGTGCTTGTATAGATTTAATTTTCACTTATCTTTGGTTCAGCTGGGTTTCGCTCTTGACGCTTAGGACAATCCATATCATCCTTGGGAGAGTGAAATGGAGAAGTTACATTCATATTTGTCAGGTATTTCCTTACCTGGCCAATTAAGTTCTGTATCTGGCAAAATCTATACTCTTAATTTCTTTCTTTTGTCTTCTTGAACTTTGGATGGTGCTCATCCTACCAGTATATAAGCACTATTGGTAAGTAATTTACATCTCAGGTTGCCAATACCAACTTAAGCAAGCTGAGGCATAAAATATCATAACATTATAAATCTAGATTAAGTTGTATTGTGTGTCTGAAAATGAGCAAGCAGAGTACAAGCAACAACATGTTGATGTATTCAGTGCTTTCCAAAGCAAGGTAGGCCAGATTTCCAGCAATTAAGACAGTTGAGATGCAGAAGTTCTAAATATTTCTAAATATAGTGAAACCTAAGCAGTATGGAAAATATTTTTCAGACAGCTATATAACATTTGTCATGTTTATTAGAGTATGGAAAGGAACGCTCTTTGGAGTAATGTTACCAGTAATTACTGATTTTGCCCTTTGGGAATGGGATGCTCAAACTATGAGCAGGTGAGGCCAGCTTTAGCAACCTGACCTGCACGTTGAATACTGATGAACTGGACCTGAACAGCTATGGGAAAAAGTAGGAAACTTAGAAACGGAAACTCGGAAAAAGCAAATTGTATAGAAGAGAGAATTACATCAAACCACACAAAGGGAGTTTAGGAGGGGAATTTAGACAGCAGATTGGAGTGGGACTTGCACTGCTTTCTCCTTTGTCAAAAGCAGTTATGTTTGAGAGTCTCTTCGTTTTTACAGCTGATGCAACAGAATTTTCTAGCATGAGCTGGCATTTCTTAGTTCCCAGGAAAGCTGGTTGTTGCTGTGGTGCTTCCTGATCCTTCTGTGGCAGGATAAAGGTTAAAGGCCCTTGAAAGGTGACTTGGACCACAGTAACATGAGGGCAAAAATCAGCCATAGACCTATCCACCATGGATGCAGGACAGAAAGAACGAGCAGGCAAAGCATAAGTACAATCGCAGGGGGGCCAGAAGGCATCAGCTTTTTTGTTGTTGTCAAGGGAGTGAAATCCTGGCATTGCTGAAATTCTGCCTCAGAGCAGTTTTGAAAATCCAAGTTAGGAATTCATCCAAGAGTCTTTGTTGTGGAACAACTTCTCCAAGGAAATCTGCTTGGGTCTCTAAATCCAGAGGCCAGATTTGGTTCTCTGTATCCAAACAATGCCCTAAGTCTTTGTTTTAATACAGCACTTGTCAGCTTGCATGATGTAACTACTCGAGGGTGCAAAAATTATTCCTGAAGTAACTGAGATAAAGCATGGACATTTAATTAGTTTAAATATTCCATGGAGGAGTCTGCATCTCTGCTGGAATAATTTTTCAGTGTGAAAATCAAAGGGGGACTGAAGGCCACAATTTTAGAATAACAGAAAAAAACTGGTCTTTTGGATTTAGAGCAATGACAAATTTGACCTTTTTCTTTCAGTGCAGTATTGATGACTAATCCTTTATTCCTTTGTTATCTTTACTGGCCAAAGGCACTGCATCTGACTAAACCATTGCCAACAGCTTCTTTTAAATGAGTGAATAATGAATTATTCATCTTCTCTTCCATCATTTATTTTCCAGAAGAACAGAACAGGTTTTGAAAAGAAAATCATTTGACATTTCATCTTAAAGGTATTAGTCCAGCTCCTTGAAAACTCGAGAGACTCTCACCCAAACTGGGGAAAACTAGGTTTGCTCTTCTTTCCACAGAAGTTAAAATGTCAGTTCCAGGTAGTCGGCAATCTTGCTATCAACTGAAAGGGAAAGTAAAACAAAATACCCCAAAATGGTTTCAAAAGTGAAATTTTTAACTCTCGTTATGACACTCGTTATGACATCTACAGATGCCCTGGTGTCACAAACTGCGGTACAGCCTTCTCATCTCTCATACTGCTCTCCTCAAACATCCTACCCTGAGATGCTTTGCCCTTGCCCCCTTATTCTTATAAGCCAAAAAGGTCAACAAGCCAGCAATATTTAACAAGGAGAGCAAGCAGGCTATTAGCAGCCACTGGTACTTTCCAAGGTGGACTATGTCCTTTTTGCCAAGAAGGTGTGCACGGTGAGAAATGCTCTGGCACAGTCTCAGGAACAAAACTGGAGCCACAGCCTAGGTCACACTCACACCAGTAATGCTGACAAGCATGAGTAGTGGGCTGTCTATTAAGCCTCTGGCAATAGCTGCTGCAGGTACAGGGCAGATGGCAGATCTCTTGACTGTAGAATTGCAGTTGTATCTCATCTTCTGGTATTAGGAAGGCTGTAAATTCAGGAGCTGAGATTTTTCTGGGGCTGATGTCTAGTCTGCAGATCCTGTCAGCTCAGTGAGTGGGCAGTGGCTGTGTGTGCCACTGGATGACTGTCAGCTGCAGGGTACATCTGTCTCACTGGGCTGGGAGGCTGTTCCATGCCTAATTCCTGCACAACTGGGACTGTGTGAAACCATCCGATCATAGAATCATAGAATGGCCTAGGCTGGAAGGGACCTTAGAGATCATCGAGTCCAACCTCCCTGTTTTGGGCAGGGACGCCACCTCTCGACTGGACCTGGCAACACATGGGGATTGAGCAGGAATCGAACCCGCGATCTCGGTGTTGGTCCTTGTTGCCAGCACCGCGCTCAAACCACTGAGCTAAATGGCCCCCAATAACTGTAATCACCTGCTGGTTCAAGGCCCAGTTTGTAAACTCATTTTAAATCACTGTCTAGTGACTGATGGCAGCAAGAGAATGCCCTTTTCATTTTAATCACACAGATTTACAGATCTAGTTATGACTGTCCAAACCACATGAAAAACATTCTACTTCCATGTTCCTCCAAACATCTTTGAACAAACTTTTGATGACTATAATTTTAGAAACAACAAAGATATACATATTACTGAAAAGCTTACAATTCAGCTGTACAAAATAATAGTAAACCTGTCATGTCAGGTTCATTTCTGAGTATTCTATCTAAAAAAAGGTGCTCAGTCTACAGTCCTTGGGCTGTTTGTGGCTAACTCATGAAATACATCCAACCTGAAGCCTGTTCATACAGACACTTTTGCCTTTTGGTCTCTTAGTAGCAGGTTCAGAGTTGGGTGAAGACTCATCTTTCCTGGACAAGAGACACAGAATCACAGAATGGTAGGGGTTGGAAGGGCCCTCTGAAGATCATCTCGTCCATTCTCCTTGCTAAAGCAGGATCTCCTTGAGTAGATCACACAGGAACATGTCCAGGCGGTTTTTGAAAATCTCCAGAGACAGAGACTCCACAATCTCTCTGGGCAGCCTGTTACACCTGATGAAGGGATGGGAGAAGGACCGAAGAAACCCTGAGATGGCACCCTCTTTGGATTTAAGGAGTTGTTGAGAAAGGCAGCAATGGAGAGCAGAAAGTCTGGGCAGCACTGATTTAAGGCAAAGACAGCAGAAATGCAGAAGTATTTAGTGGCAAAATAAGAAGAGGCAAATAAGAAGAGACTGCCATACTGAACCATTTGGGTTGTTAAATTTGAACTGAAAATTAACAAGAGCAGGCATATTAGAGACCAAACATATATTAGAAAATAATTTATTTGGGAGAGTTGAATTATTGTGACCTAGAGTTTTCAGGATAGTGAAAGGAAGCACAGTTGAATGTAACGAGAAGAAATGTCTGTTAAATGTAATATAGAAGCAACACTGAAGTAAAGAGCTTGGTAGTGTTGGGAAAAGAAGGTGGATAACCACAGGTTACAGACACAGGCAGGTCCTTTAATAAAGAGAAGAAAAAGTCTAAATATTTGGAATGCATATTCATTTTCATATTTCAGGGGATAAATTGTATTCCATTTAAGAGAGGCAGAAGTTAGCAGCTGTCCTGGATGACTGACCACCACCATTTGCTGCACTTTCTCTTGGATACTGGCTTCTGCCAAGACAGAGTGCTGACTACAAAGGACCTCTGCTCTAATC